AATGTGAAGAAACAAAAGTGATTTTAAATATAAAACAAAAAGTTGCCTAATAAAAAGTGGAAAAAAAAGTTGAGAAAAAAAAACTAGAAAAACCACAGTAACAAGAGCAAAAAAAAAGACGAAAAAATGAGCAAGAAAAACCACAGTAGCCAAAAGCGGCAAAACAGAGCAAAATACTTTTCCACGTGCTATAGAGAGGTAGGGAACAAATGTCGTTAACATAGGAATCAGCATTCATATAAATAAAACAAGACTTTTCGTTTCATAATTCAAATTATTTTTGTTAATTCACATTCACGTCTGGCAAGTCTGGAAAATGGGCGCCTACCATTGAGTACTTAAAACATGTCGTCTGTTTTTTTCCATTTATATGTTTTGGAAGCGAAAGAAATTTTTAATCATGTAACTTATTAAAAGTTTATTTTAATAGTCATTTTTTATAATCTAACAAACTATGTGGGGTATATAATAAAAATAAGAAAATTCCTCAAAACTATCTTGAGCAAAGTTCACCAATTACTTTTTCACTTAAGTCTTGTGCTTTTATTTATTTGCTTAAAATGAACATTTTGTTTTTGAGGATGAAAGATATTATTCCTGAACTTGTAGTCACTTTTCAGTCAAAGTTTCTCAGACCATATAGCTTACAGAAGATAAGGTTGTCTTAAAACGAGTCTAAAGCTTCTCAATGTTAGACTTATTTGGTCGACCGTGGAAGAGTGCGAATTTAATCGGGATCCTGATTAAAAAATTGAAAGTCAACAGATTAAAAGAGTGCAAAAAACTTTTTTCACTTTCTTTATAACCAAAAAGCTAGGTACTACTCTCAGTAAATTTTTAGAATACCATCTCAACTTTAAAGGATCATCGCGTAATCGTTATTTTTTGAGTAAAGGTTTAAGTAATTTGATAATAAAATTTTGAATAATTTATTCAAAATGTTTAGTTACGTTTACAAGTAATAATATTTTTCAAAAGTAAAAACAATTTGTTGTGTCGGTATCAAAATGTTCAATTAAACTTGTTGTATATTGTTGGTACACTGAAAGAAAAAAAGTTTGATCAAAATTAGCAAAGTATGGTAACATTTGTAGTGTTTCTGGTCCTATGGGAGCATGAAAAAACTCGATAATTTCTACCAAAGTGCTTCGGTAATGACTTTGATAAAATTAGCATACATACTGGTTAATATATAGTGGATATAAAACATATATAATGGATAGAAAAATTGCTAAATAATGTGTGATGAAATTTGGTAATTTTGTTATTATACCTTAGAGCATGGTATAAAAATCATTTATTCAAAAAATTTAATTTTTAGTTTTGTATATTTTTATAAATGTGGATTAATAAGCACTATAATCTTAAAACCAGAATTTCTGGTAAACCGTTATCAAATGAACGAAAAAATTACCAAAATGAATGGTTTAAATACTGTATATTTTGATTTTTAGTACCAACATTATGTTTTTTCACTCATGTGAAAAAAAAACCATAATATTACAGTACGGTAGTAATTTGCATACTACAGAACTGTAGAAACATAGATGCTAAATGTCCTTGCCATACAGTACGTTAGTAATTTCAACAGAAGTGTTTCCTCCGTGTATGTTTCGTCACATGATATAAGTTTAAATTTATTATATAAGTTTAAATTTAGATTACATGCAACGGAATTTTTATACAAATTATGAAAGGTTTTATAATATATTTTTAATTTATCGAAAGATGTATCCCCAAATCCTTTAATTATAAAATGTTGTAAGTGGCCTATTAAAAAACGCCCCTAATTATTTCTTAAAAGAAGGCTATAGTATAGAATGGTAGAGTGTAAGGAAGAAAGTATTATGAAACAATAAGATTGTCGAATAATAAGTTCTATAGTCATAAATTCTAACAAGTTAAGACTTAAAATAGTTAATTATAGTTACCACAGCCATTGGAATTTATAGAATCTTGCAATATAGTATTTTACAAAAATGTCAAAAAAATGATGCTTGTCTGAATTTGTTCATCTATTTTTATTACTTCCAATTTCTGACAATATGTCTCCCAAGGTATCAAGTTTGCCAAAATTCTATTTAATGATTGAAAATTCATTATACTACTGACTGGTTACGGTGAACTGGAGTAAATTGTATTTTATATCAGATCATTAAAATTTTTGTTTTGAAAGTATTAAAATTCAATGCGTTAAAAGATTGAAAAATAAAGTTTTGATCTGTTTTTTATAAAATTGGTCAGATCGTACGAATTATAAAAATGACAAGAAGTTTCGAATTATAAGAATGACAAGAACCCTTAGATGTGGGATTGCGCAGATAAATCGTGACACCAATTTAATCTTATTGGTTAAAAATATCTAGAGCTTTTCGTCTGTTAAAATGAGAAAAAGAAATTTAAGTACCTTAATTATTTTTTTTTACTCTGCGAAAATTCTAAAATTAGTTAAAACCAGACTCATAAGAATTAACATATAGAAAGACTAATACTCATAGTCGAACTCTTAACTTATAAAAATGTTAAGAAAATGAACACACAAAATTTTTTTCAAAAGTATAAAATTCAATTTCATTACCGTTGCTTGTAGTTATAATTAATTACAATGAGTTAGTAATTTTACTTAGAAGTGGCTGACTTTGACGTATTCTCGCAAACTTACTGCATGGAATGACATTTTGATTATATGATATTTCCATATGATATTTTGATTATATGACAGTTGCCGAACATAAAAAAATTTAAGCTAACTTATACTGAAATCTTAACTTCAACTCCCAAAAACTAATAATGTTTAAAGGCCTTAAATGGAAATAAAGATTTTATCGAAGTGCCTGAATGACAGTGCCTGAATTAATGCAAAAATTTAAATAAATGAACATTCATAGATGCTAAACGTACCCAAGAGGTGATTTAAATAAATAAATAGAAATATTTTTTTAAAACTTTTTTTCCCAGGTAAATCTTTTTTAACCTCATATTCTTTCAAAAAATAAAGTTGCGACTCAAACTACATCGAAAAATTTTAAAAGTAGACAATACAATATCAATCGATGTTTATACAAATGTATTTAATTTTTGTAATTAAAGTATATTTAGAACACGGAGAAAGAATTCTGGTGAAATTACCTTATTGAATGATAAAGACATTTACGGCAAAAAAACAAAAAAAAAAAAAAAAAAAACTTAGNAAAAAAAAAAAAAAAAAAAAAAAAAAAAAAAAAAAAAAACAACAACAACCTAATACTGGCTAATAAAACCAAAATATGTGGTATTTAAACCATTCATTTCATAATTTTGTGTTGATGTAAATGGTTAGAAATTCTCCGGTAAAAATATTTAAATAGCTATTCATTTAATTTTTAGTTAACTATATTCAACCCAAACAGCTAAATAGCCATTAAAAATGATAAAACAGTCGAATAACTATAAAACAGTCAAATAACTATAAAACTGTAATGCGTAGGAAAATCTATTATTTACTGTTTTTACCTAATACTGTTTAACAACCAGAATGCTATCCGCGCCAACAAGGCCCACCTCATGAAGCCATTTTGTTCTGTGCTACTTGATACCTACTGAAGCTAGGAGGGCGAATCGGTCAATTTTCTGACCGTCTGAACAAGGCTTCGGACCCAAGCGTTGACACCACAATATTTCTTATATTTGTTCAATTTATGAAAAGTTTCCTGTGTCCTGCGCTCTTCAATTGGTGACTCTGGACTATTAGAATACGGAACTATCATTCACGAATAAACGGCACATCACCCACAGAGCTTCAATGTCTGTTTAAATTTTATTTTTATGGTTTAGAGACTATGCTAGTTGCTAGCAAGATTTACAAACTATGCGGACAATGGTTACAAGACCTTACAGTTTTGTATTTATGGTTGCCTAACCGTTATCAGTTGTAAACAGTTTCAAAATAGTAAAGGTAAAAAATTGTTCCTAACCACAAACATTATGGTTAATCGGATGAACAGACTGTTGCCGTTTATTTTTATCTTAATTTCAGAATGAAAATTCCTACAGTGTGGTAACAGTTTACTGGAAATTCAGGTTTTCAAAATTATAGTTCTTATTACCACTCGTTTACTAAAAAACGCAAAACTTAAAATTAAATTTTATCGAATAAAAGGTTTTTATGTCATCATGATAAAATTATTAAAATTTTATCACATATTATAAAACCATATTTTATTGAAAATTGTTCTAAAATTATCAACAAAAGCGGTTAGGTAAAAATTACCAAGTCTTTGGTGACCAGAGCCCGAAACACGATAAATTTTACCATAATCTGGTAGTTTTGACCATACTTTTCTTCTCAGTGTACTTCACAAATATATTTAAACTTATTTTTGCAAATCTAAAGCGGTTGTGGTGTTATTACTATTAGCACAATCTATTGATGAGATTATATTTATAATCCTGACTATTTGATTTTAAAGAATTTTTTGACAAAAATTTCTTTTAATAAAAGTTTTAAAATTTTTCTAATTTGAATAGAGAAATACTTGCAATTTTGGTTGTGGACGTAATACAAATATATTTAAATATCATAAGCTTCAATTTACTTTCACACTTTATTGAGGATCTATTGCTTTCAAAATAGCAATCATAATCAATTCGTGCAGAGATCTAATTTTCATAATCAAGTAAAATTTAAAATGCAAAGGGAAAATGTAACAACTGCCTGGTAGACATCCTTAATTTGTCTAGCAAGTCAACGACAGCTAGTTAAACTAAAAAAATATCCATCGCGATGAAATAGCATGCTTAATAATTCTACGGACAATATCTTCAAATGATGACCATCCAATTACAAAGAGTCTGCGAACACCAACCGGAAAACAATTGCTCACCATCTTTATTTACGCTAAAAACAAGATAATGAAAAAAATAAACAAAAAAGACTCAGCGGGCATCAACAAGATAGCTCAATCAAAAGCGTCAAGTGGTTAAATTTACCGGCCGACAAAACACCCCTTCCTATTGGTCGAAAAGTGATTTCATGTGAAGGTATATAGGAAATGCATTTTGCATCGACAATCTGTATTAAGAAAGTTCTTGGGTGATTGGACATGGTCGGGAGAATTTGAGATAAAGCGATATAAAACAAAATTCACTCAACCTTGCTGGATTATTTTAGTGTTTGTTTTCCCGCCATAAGTGAAAGTTGAGAAAAGATTCAGATATGAAAATGAAAGTGGAAGTGATTGTTGCTCTTCTTACCTTCTTCGGTAAGTAAACATACGTTTTGTTTCGTGCGTTTTGAAGTTAGTGTTTTAGCAAAAAAAAAATAACTGTTTTTATTAGAAATATTTTTTTTTTATCAAATTTATAGCTAAAATTTTTTTTCCAATCTATTTTCATCATTTTTTTGTAATAAAATTAATTAAATATCGAAATGGTACTTTTAGCAACAGCATCGTATTTATAAAAATATATTTTATTTCATACACTATTTTACGATATAGTCCCAAAAAACGTGTGTCCAGAAAATGTCCTGCATGTCCAGAAAAAAAATTCTTTTATTTCTTAGGTTTTGTAATCATGACTTTCTCTTTATTTCAATAACAGTTCACGTTATATAAGATTATTTTAATAAATTATTTAGGAAATCAAATTTTTTTAAAAGTTTATTTAAGCATATTTCTGGGTAAAAGAAAATTACAGCTAGTTGCCCAAACATAGAACTTTTTTTATATTATTTATTTGGTCTTTTATCTGAAAATTTTCTTCAACATTTATTAATTTTTAAACAGCTTTATTTTGGACTATTTAAATGAGGAACCTGCATGCTTTTTTTGTTTTAAAATAAAACTTCACGCCATTTTATGAAGATAGACACCAATTTCATGAAATATTATGAATTATCATGAAATATTAGTACAACAAAATGCCCGAGAAAAATACTTTTTTAAAATTTTTTAAATCATATGATTTTAGCTTAAGTTTAGTTTTAAGTTACATTGCATAAAAAGCTAGTTCACCATGGCCTTTTCCTTAAAATTTTAATCTTGTTTGACTGAAAAATAATAATAAATCTATTTTATTCAAGTACCTACATAATGTTTGATTTTTTTTAAACATAAATTAAGTTTTAACAGTACTGAGAATTACTCAAATTAATAAAATTCTTAAATAAATATAGATATTTTCTTATGAACTAAATTTTAATACTAATTAATATTTTGACGTATGTATTGAGTTTTCTCAAAAAAAAGGGATACCTTATAATGACATGGATTTTTTATACTTTATCAAACATAGTTTACGTTTAAAATTAAAGTTAGAATAAATTTAATTCTTTGTCATTCATTAAACTCACTTAAGCCCTAATATTTGCTGTGTACAGAGTGACAGATAAGTATTGCAATTTAAAAAGGAACGTAACAGTGTACAATACTAAGAAAGATTAAAATTGTATAGACAGGTATTAATTCAAAAATCTTCAGTTCAAAAAGCAGGAAAGCTCGCATAAAAAAAAATATTTATTATGGACTAAAATCTAACGAGAACAACTATTTAAACTGGGGACATATGTTCATTTAAATTCAAAAGAGCACTAAACTTTAAAAAAAAAACCCGTATTAACTTTGCTTTAAAACATAAGTTTTACTTCCTTGAAAATACATTTAAAAATGCATTGTAACCTAGTCGAACTCTTTCATTGTAAATAACAAATGCTAAAAAACTATAAAGAGAAATACAAATTCTTCTAAAACAACCAAAAGTTGTAATAGTATTACAGTTATAATTTTAAAATGACGTGTAAGCAATTTCATCCTTTTTATTTTATTATGAGAGGATAATTATTTCAGAAAAACAGAAATAAAAATAGATAATTTTTGCATTCTTTTAAACAATAATGGAAGTGGTTAAAAATTCCTAAGAAGCAAAAACATTTTTTTTAAAAAAAGAAGAAAAGTAACCGGCTATAAGTTAGCAATATTTTTTTAAACTTTTGTTATAAAAATATAAGGAACAGAAAAAAAAAGCTTCAATAGGAAAATTTCTTTATTTCATTTCTGATTTTCACATTCTGATTCTTTAATTCTGATTACATAATGAAAACCGGATATTGGCATCTTTTATATTTATGACCAATTGAGATTTAATATTGGTTAAAATTTCTAGACTAGCAAAAACAAACTTTAAAACATATTTTTTACTTTAACAAAATTAGAATGATTAATCTTACTGAGCAGAGAAAACTTATCTTACTGAGCTGCATAATTGATCCTGATTGTGTATTTATCGTGTCACGGTTAACACACCGAAACAAAGGAATGATGAGAATTCATTTTGCGCTCTCTTTAGAAAAAAATAAACATATTATCCCTAAAATAAGTAATAAATTTCGAGTAGTAACGCATATCTTCAAGTGAAATGCAAAATAATAATTTTGAATGGTTTTATATTTTTTTCAAGATTTCAAAAGTTTTTTCAAGATTTTCTTTAATCGAAAAGTAATGTGTGAAATTGATTTTATTCGTCTATGCCTTATTAAAAATAAACTTTAAATTATAAATCAGTAAGATATCTACATCGTAACAGGTAGAAATAAGTAAATTTTTTTAATAAATAAATTTTTCAAAATTTCTAAAATTAGGTCGCATTCAAAAGTAAGAAAAATATACTGAAAATTCAATATGTTTTTCTTCCGTAAGAATACTAAAATGCAAGCTAAATGTATCACTTACATACATTCTGACAAATAAACGCATGCATCTTGAGACACTTTTATCATTTAGTTTTATCATTCAAAAATAGAAATGTATTTTAAATTATTTTTTTCTAATTGATACGTTTGGTTGAAAAAATCAATAAGGTTCCTTATCAAAAAGTTCATCGTTTAAACAAAATGTTTATCTGCTTAAGGAATGAAATTGAAGTTATAAGTTAATAAATAGGTTATAGGTTAGTAGTTTGTCACAAATGATTGCTTGGTGTGCAGTTATCACCACCCCTTAACCCCTTCCTTCTCGCTCCCGTGATATTCCCGGGCTGGAGTGTTCAGTAGTAACGCGCCAGTAAAAATAAAACTAATTCATTTATTTTGACCGGAAAACACTTTATTACTCATTTTACACACCAGATGGCAGTACCAAGATATTTTTAAGGTAATTGTAGATAGTTAGTTTACTTTACTGGATGTCAGCACTAATCAAATACGTGTATAATATAAGTGTATAAAAAAATAGGCACTTTCATGACCGTTTTCTTGAAAATTAACCGATCGTAAAGGGGTTAATATAAATAATTACAATTATTGTTAAAAATGAACTAAAAAGATAATAGACCAAGGATCATAAATTACTATTTAGACAAGGAAAAGCCAGGCTCCATCTCAAAATCTGTCCGATCGCTACTGTGGTAAAAGGGACGTAAAACGTCAAAACCTGCTTGATTACTTGAAGAGACATGGATGGGTTTTTAAAAATTCTTTTAAACTTCAAACAGGTTTAGATGTTTTTAGCCCCGCGTTATCGAGCAGCGATGCGTTAAATTTTGATATCTTTTTTATTTCTTTTCTTTGCTGAAATATTAATTCCGGAACCCTAATGTCTTCTTTGGAACATCTTTGACTTCATTAGAAGCAAAGATTAAGGAAAGTCATAATGGAAAAGCTTATGCAGATTTGACAAACACAAAGTCTAATTTGTTTTTAAAAAAAATAGGCTCAATGAACTTTGGAAGTTTATATGCTTCAACTAATGAATCTGACTGATATTTTGTAATTTTAGTTCGGTAACTGTCGGTATGGAATGTGAGAAATTCGTCGACTGTCTAATCTGTTGGCCTTTACGTGACTTTCGACCATTTTAAGGTTAAAGTGTTGTTTTTACAAATCTAGGATTCCTGAAGTGAGAAAAATTGCAAGCTGAAAGCGTCACATCTTTAATTTGCAGATTTCATTATTTAATAAGAATTAATGAAATGTTGTCAATACATGCAGAAAAACTATGGAGAAAGATAATCTTATAATTTCCCCCGTTTTTGTTAATTATAATTCTACTTAAAAATCATTCCAAACCTATTCATAGGCTGCTTTGTAATAAACGTCATAATTATATGCTTCAAGAATATATATATTTTTAAGAGCTCACGCATAAAGGAAAAGCTGAAGTATTACGATAATTTTTCGAATCACTACTGAGGAAAGTTGGATTGTAAACATTAAAGCATGTTTGAATAAGCAAAGGCAGTGACAAGAATTATCACAAACACCTTGAAATTTCTACAAGCTAACAACCTCGTTTTGTTTTTTTTAAGCATGCTTTACTCAATAGCTATTCGTCATATTTCATTAATGTTTCTGTTTTTTCTCGTTTAAATTAATATTTTTAATTTTGTTTTCAATTTTGGATTTAAATATATATTAAGGGCAGTGACTACGAAGAAGCCTTATATGATTCCTCGGAATTTCTATTGTGCTATAGTAAATCTTTCATACATGATAAAGATTTGCTATCTTGTTTTATCTTTGTCAATTTAGACATTACTGACCTATTTTGTTATTTTACAGCTTACAGTGCTTCTGCACAACTGAATCAAGTGTACGCAACAGTTCAAAGACCAAAACAGGTACAGTAGATTAAAAAAAAATTGCTTCAAAATTGTTTTAAGCATAAGCTTATACATTTAAAACACCGAATGAGTTAGAAGCTATAATAATCTGTACATTTATTGCTATTTTTATACCAACTTTATGATGGTATCAATAAAATATGATAAAAGCGTTTAACTACAACAAAATCCTTTCACTAGTAGCGCAATATAAGAACGATAAACAAAAAGACAGTATTGTAACACTAACCTTAAATTTCATCAATAGTGGATAAAATTCAATATTAAATATGTATTTCTTGCTTTATTAAGTAAATTTTTTAATGAATATCAGTGTGTAATCTGTGTTCAGGAGAATTATAGATAAAACTTCCTTTACATGAAAAATTATTTAAAAGTAACGAAAGATCATCCTTTGATCTATATTGGTATATTTAGTTAAATGATTATGAAATGTTTAGCATACAGCACAGGGTAATACTATATATTGTACGTAAAATTTATATGATGGCAGAATAGCTTATTTGTAAATATTTTCAAGGGCTGTAGAATAAAAACTGGCACCGCTTGCTTTTGACAAAGTAAAAACTGTTAAAACTTCTATGATTGTCATTTATCAAACTGCGAGGCGTGTTTAGCAGAAATATTTCTAAAATATGTACATTGTGAGTTAGTGAACATTTCAATAGTGTCATGTTCTTTTTTCCAGCTGCCATCGACCCACATAACGACTTCAAAGCCATATGACTACACCACAATATCTTTGTCACCAAAAACATCCATTAGTGTTCAGCATTCTATCGTTAGAAACCAGCCAGCCTATCCTTTTCCTTATACGGAAACTACTTTGCAAGCTGATGGCTCAGAAGACACCAGTTACTACTACACATATGAAGAAACTTCCGAAGAAACTACAAAAAAACCATACATGTTGTCCCCTCCACCAACAACACCTGGACCTTCTACCAAGAAGCCAGCTGTCAGAAGTTTCTGGAACAGTCAAAAAGCCTTGCTGGATGCTAGAAGAAAAGAAAGTTCTCAAAAATTCGTAACATCATACACGACGAGATCAACAGAAAGACCCAAGATTGAGTTTAAGGCAAGAGAAAAACCCAAGTTTGGTTTGGCCAGCAAGAGCAAGTTTACAACCACAACAACTGCACCTACAACTGAAGATAAACTGCAGACGACAACTGTAAAATCCGTCAAATACAACGCGAATAATGCCAATTCAGCGGATAACAAAGCGGAAGACAAAGTAGAAACTGCAAAGGGCATTGCGAAAGATTCTGGAGATAGATTGACGAATAAAATCACTGGAAGAATCGGAGAACTACCCTATCTGACGAACCCTGTAACACAAGTCCAGCCATACCTGTATCCAACAACTGTTCCCGGAAATTCAAAGCAAGTTAAATTCGATGATTCTATGGGCACTACTCAACTTGTCGACAATTCTCGCCAAGTAGTTACAAGTAACTATAAACCTTTACCAAGCTCAGGAAATGACGGCGATTCAAAGACTATCAGTAACCTTAATAAACAGATTCCTTTGCTTGCAAGTTTCATTCAACAGCAGTCAAAAATAAGCTCGACTCAACCACCAACAATTACTACTGCTTCAAATTCAAAAATGGATCCAAATGAATTTCTGAAAAGATTGTTGAGTCAGCAAATCCTATCTAGCCCAAATCCACATCGTTCAAACATAAATCAACAACCTCTAGCAAGCAACAATCATTTGGTACAAAACCAAAACAAATTGCCGTTACCAAACGCAAACTTTCAAAATTTTAATAGGCCACTAAACAACATTCCACTTAATCCGCTCCCAAGCAATCTTAATCAACAAACAAGTAATTTTAACCCACAAACAAGTAATTTTAACCCACAAACAAGTAATTTTAACCCACAAACTAGCAATACGATTCTAGCCACTCTTCCTTTGGGAAGCGGTGTGCAAAGAGCCGGAGAACTTCTTGCAACCAGTAATACTCCAGCATCGACTTTGTTGTCTAGGTTAGGAAATTTAGCTTTAAATTTAGGAGGTGGTGATGCACCAGCAGTAAGTAATTACATTACGGGCAGAGATGGTGGAGGATCGGGTTTGGCATTCAACTTAGGTCCAATACCTGATCCTTTAACAGTACTTTTAAAACTTCTATCCCTCTTACCACGCCCACTACTTGATCTGAATGGTAAAATCTTCTTTGGAATAGAGTTGGGCAAAAACGCTGGTCTTACAACGAAACCAATAGGTTAATAATAATATTAAAAAGGTAGTAAATAGAACTGTAAAATAAATTTTGTAAAATAAATTTTGTGATAATCTATTATTTTAAAACTTTATATGTTATTCAGCTGTTTTATGTTTAGGAATTTTTTAAGTTTATATGAAATTTTTATAAATTTTTTTATTGTATTTTCAAGCAAAAAAAAATCTTTTATAGAAAGAATTTTTTCACATTAGCATTTCATTTGTGGCCGTACAAAGTTGTGAAAAAATTATATTAGATGTATGCAATGTAGAGAAAAATATGTATAAAGTACACATTTAAAAGGAAATTATTCCTGTTTAAGCTTTTTTTTATCATGGTTGTTGTAAATATGTAATATACTAGTCCATTATGCATTAGAGCAACGCTGTATCATTTTGAAGGCATTAGGTGTATAAACTGTGAATATTTTTGTATATGATGAAAGTCATGTTTATAGGTGTAAATTACTTGTATATATTCAGAGCCAAAATTTGTAAATAATGTTTGTAATTATTTAAAAAATAAAATATTTTATTATTTTATTATATTTTGTGAATTTTTATTGTTTCTAGATAATTATTAAAAGTCTTTTTTTCATTTAAATTAATATAAATAAATAAGAAATAAATTTTTTTAAATAAAATTTAGGAAGATATCTACAGAACGAAAGAAAGAAGTGTACAAATAAAAATATACAAAATAAATTATTTTCTGAATAATTCCTTTGTACATATCTCGATAAATAAGCATAGCAGGCAGCAAAAATATAAATTTTCGAGAAACGTATTCGACATTCATAATAATTTATAAAAAATAGTGTATGATTCATGTATAATTTTAATTTTGCATTCTTTACTAACCAAACATATGCCAAACACAATATTATGAACACTTACTTAACTAATGATTTGATTTTAATGCCTTATAATATTCAAATAAATTACAATTTAAAAAACCATATTTTTAGGGTGGATTAAAGCGCTATTTTTGGGAAAAATCTAAAACGAATATCATCGAATACTCACTTTGAAAGCTTGGGGAAAAGAAGAGTTTCGGTGGTAATAAATGTGCGGTGGTTACCCAAGGTTCATCGTTTTAAATCTGACAAAAATAAAACCCTAAATATTACATTATATTATTCTATCATTTTTATTCCTGCGTCTGTTAGTCTGTTAAGTCAAAAATTTGTTAAGTCGAAATTTTTATGGGCAATTTAAATTCTGCTCGCAGTGGTTCAGATTTAAATTTTGAGTAAGTACACTTCGAGAAGATTTAGATTCTGGTATGTTGCTATTTGAAGTCATGTTTTATATCATACATTGTTAGAAGGTTTGGTTAATATCGAACTATAATATCTTTGGAATTTTCTGTAGCCTTTATACGGTGTTGAACAGTATTATTGTAAAAATTAGTTCGTCTTCATTATACGATAACATAGTTCAATTTGCAGAAGAATAAAGCGCTCACCATAAAACCTTATTAAGAAAAAAGCAATTTTGTTCTATAGACTGACTCAAGGTACAAATATTATGGATAAAGGTACGGTTGTCATGGTTCAACATCAAATCGATTTTCCTGAGAGTTTTTTGAAACCCAATTTTGACTGATTTTCAGCTAGTCTTATTACTATGTAAACATTTGATTTAGAACAGATTATTAAATTTTTAAATATAAAATAAAATTTTTAAACATATTTATAATTTTGTATTATAAAAAATTTTCGGCTGATCAAGATTTATTTTTATGATTTTTAAATATTTAAAATTTTTAAAAAACTTAATTATCAGAAAGAATAATTCGTAATTATAAAACACGAATCATGTCTTTGATTCCCAAATATTTATAATGATTAATAATTTAGCATCAAATATTAATAATTTAATGATTCGAATATCTTAAGGATTTAATGATTGGAATGTCTTGGTATTATAATTCAGAAATTTAGTTTTAGTTTCTATATTAATGCTGTTAGCTCTACAGATGAAATATGAACTGTATATTTATCATTACTATGAATTTCTATTGGATACTGATCAGCAAGGTGATACCTCCAAGGTTCGCTAAATTTTTACGATACTTTTTCGTTAGTGATTATTACCAATCAGAAGTTTTTTCGAATTATTTTATATTAAGCTGTGTGCATTACTTTTCGTATTCGAATTTGATTTTCAAATCTCTTTTTTCTGAAGAGCAAAAACTTTAAAGAGCAATTTGAAAAATTAGCTAACTATCACACTCTTTTATTGTCTCATATTTCTATTACATAAAAAATTAGCACGTAACTTCTTAGTTTGACCTGCTTTAAGCCTATAATACTCAACTTAATATTTTTGAAAATATAGTCTAGTATCTAACCTAATAATTTCAATTACACCTTAGCATTCGGATCAAATAGCTCAACAGCAAATAAGTATGATACTAATCATGAACTAGAAATAATGAACCATTTTGCCAGTAAAATTAGACACAATGAAGTATTATTAACAGAAAAAAAAGTTCAACAACTTACTCCAATTACAGACATCCCTGATAGCACCATTAAACTCGTGTCACCATTCCGCTAATCCAGCAACTATTAATTGAAAAATCAATTGCTATCATAATAGGATATAACTTTGTGAGTCCTTAAGAAATACTACCCATTTATAGTAGTCTCATTAACGAAGATAGTTAATAAAATTTAAAAATACGAATTTTCTGGAATTTTAATGTTGAAAACTATATCCAATCGATTTCAAGTGAGGTTTTGATTTTGTCATTTTAAATGATGTAAAAATTTGTATATCTCACTCTCTTTAATTTAAATAAAAAAATGCTGAATGTACCTTGCACAAAATTATTTTAGATAAAAGAGATATTGTCGATTATCTGGAAGACTATTTTAATTCGCAAAAATATTTACAAAGACAAAGACAAAAATAGTCTTTGAGACGAGGAAAAAGACAAGGACAAAAATTATCGTAGTAAGATCTAATATTCAAGAGCTTTGGCTACATTGCCGGGAAGATATTTTTCAAATTGAAACATGTTATGAGGCTCAAATTCTTGAATCATCCGAAAAGAAAGGTATGTCTATTCAGAGAAAGAACGTATTAGTATCTGATTTGGTGAGTTATAAAATATTGTATCAAATACTTCGTATATTCAGGGCCTACCACCGAACCGTTAAAATTGCTTGTCAAATTACGAGAAAATTCAATCATTAGGTCGAAACTTTGATCATTAGGTCAGAATTTTAAATTCTCTTGGTGATTTTTAAGAACGTAAAGTTAGTTTAAAATTTTAAAATAAGATACACTTTCTTTGTGTTACGTGTAGTGAAATTGATCCAAAATATCAATAAAAATTTAGTTTAGTGTCATTTTTATTAAAAGATGAATTCGCTTTCGCTTTTTTGTTGTATAGTGTCTAAAATTATGCAGTCACTAGTCGATGCATCATGAGAAAATTTGATTTTGGATCAATTTTCCAAATTATTATTTTTATTATCATATAGACTTGTCAAAATGTTTTTGAAGCTAAATTCTCTAAGCACCATTTTTTGTAAGATATGGGCGGAACACTTATAATAATAATTAGCTTTTTTAACCCAATAATCTTCATTATTTTAAAGCATCTTTACATGTTTTTTAAATTAATAATATTTAAAAATTCTTATGAAAAGTAAATATTGACAATCGAAGGAAAAGGGAAGGCAATAATGAAATTATTATAAAACAAAAACAATTTATGAAATAAGAGTTCTTTCGTAAATTAGCACAAAACTTTCTATGGTGTATTTTGGTTTCGTTTCGTAATAAATTAAATATGAATCTTATTTAAATGAAAAATGTATTCACTTTTCTTTAGAACAATAGCTTTTCAATTGTTCAATTATAAAATGGTTAAATAAGTTATATAATAGCCATGTGAAATTTCTAGTCATATTAATTAAAAATACATCCGACTTCCGGTTTTGAACTTCTGCCAGTCTCGAAAAAAAAAATAATTTATTTAAAACTATTCCGAGATTCATTAAAGATGTAATAAATTCTGAAGTGAATAAATTCTTGTTATGACTGAAGACTATGAATAATATATTCTGATGAATGACTGTGGGAAATATCAAATTGCTCAGCCACACGTGAAAAAAAATCATGTAAGCAGCGTCGAACAAAAAGAGGAAACAAGTGGTAAGGAGTCAAATTATTTTTATATGATTCAGTAAGGAAAAAACCCTACGAACCGTTAGCAGCTCCATCTTACGGGCAAATCTTTAACTAAAGTTTTTAAAACTGCTGACGATGAAACTGCTATTTTTCAAATTTTGAATTTTGGCAAACCCATAAAAATGAATAGCTATCAATTATTTTTTTTTCTTAATTTAATTTTCAAGGAATGTGCATGCACATTTAAAAACATATGAAGACATGTGGCATTTAAAATTAGTGGTGGAATCTTGTTCCGTCTAAGATTTAATTTCCGCCAATTTCTATACTTACTTTATAATAAATGCATTAAAATGTAATTTTAATTTAAAAATAAAGTCCAAATATAAAAATATTTCTTATTTGTAACATTTCACATTACACTTACATTTAAACATTGGGCAGATATATTTTTAATCAAAAATAAAACGTTTATGACTTGTTATTTATGAAATGTTCATTTATTAAAACGCAAAATATATTAACAAAAGTTTTGTATTGAATTTTTTCCAATTATTATTATTTCACTACATGCACTGAGAAAAAAATGCATGGTCAAACTAACCAGGATATGGTAAAATTTTCCCGTATTTCTGGCTCTAGGGGAACACTATATATAGCTCTGTAAGTATTGCTAAGGATTTTGCTAAGATTATAACAATTGAATAAAATCTTAAAATATACGATAATATTTACTAAATGCGGTAAAATTTGGTAGCTTTATCATGATACTTTTGAGCATGGTACTAATATTATCTGTTTGGATAAATTTACTTTCCAGTTTTGTGTTTTTTTTACTAAATGCATGGTAATAAGAACTATAAATTTTAATACTAAAATTTACAATAAATCGTTACCAAATGCATGGCTTAAATACATATAGTTCGTTTTTATTAATCAGAAATAAAATTTTTTTTTACTTGAAATGTCATTGTTTCATAGTATAGTAATTTACCGGAACTTTTTTCCATGTGCATTCAAGTGAGTCCTTCAAACTTAAAATTTATTTTAAATTTTAATATGAATTATTCTCCAATATATATAAAAAAGGAAAAAAAAAGCACTTAAGAAAATTAATTAAATAAATAAAAAATTTTATATATATTTACAAAAACAATGTTCCCGCAGAGAAAAGATGCAAAGATATATCCTCAGATATATGTTATTCACTGTTAATGCTTAGTTAGTGTTTTAAACCCTGACATCGGAATAAAATGTTATTGATATTTTATTTACTGAAATACTTTTTATTAAAGGTTTTCAGTAAAACAGTTAAAAGGACAATATTTTCTTAAAAATATTTTATGCAATTTTACCCCATGTATGTTGAGAAATAAGGCGTTGTAGTTTGTTATGTGTTTATGTTTTTATAAAAGCTTAAAAATATTTTAGTAGGGTAAACTAACCAGTGAAGGAACACTACCCAGTGAAGGAACATTTCATATATATTGATTAAAAATAAGAATTTGAAAGTTTTTCTTTAGAGTGATAGGTAACAATAGCTTTACTGCCAAGCAATAGGAAGTCATCTAGCAATGTTTTGGATTACCTGGTCAAATAGACTTCTCTGAAAATTTTTTTGAATTTGTTCTTATCTCTGCAGCACCTTGTTTCTTTGAAAAAATTATAAGGTGAGTTGGTTGGTTGGTGTCGTATCCTCTATTGAATCATATTTCATGGTGTGCTTAAATAGTTTTTGTTATTTCTATGGCATTAAAAGAATACAAATCCTCTTCTGTTGGGTAGTTTAGGAGGTGAAGGCCTGCAGCGACTGCAGGGCAGTTAAAAACATGATATGGTGTCAGTTCCACATTAAGACAGTTGCCACAGTTTTGATATTTTCTAGTCCCATCTGTAGAAATTTTCATGTTTTTATGATGTTTTGTTCTTAGTCTGATGAGAGTAGTTGCTGTCTTCCTATCGATGTCAAGATTAGTTATTTGATCGTGAGTGTTTGTATTTATATGTTTGAAGTGGAATTAATTGCATGTAATAGTTTTATTTTTCTCACTGTGAAAAAGAAAATTCAAAATATAGTTACTGAAGTTACGTTTTTTTCCAGCATCATAGCAAAATAAAGTACTGAGATAATGGGGTGTTTATTCACTGGATCACCAAACGATGAGAAATCAGTGAAGGAACAAGTGTTCCGTTACTGGATTTTTTTCTAAGTTAATGAAAATAAGAGATAAACTTTAATTTTCTTGTATCTTTAGTGATGTTCCGCATCTAAAGTATGTTAAAAATACGAAAAACAACTTCTAATCAGTGAGGGAACAAGCATGTTCCTTCAATGGGCATGGATTTCCCAGTGAATGAACAGTTTGTGTTAATATGTTGACACTTTAATTTTCAATTCATGATTACAAAAAATTTTCCAAGATTTTCCATGATTTTTCAAGTATTTATAGGTTACAATTTCAAGAATAGGCTTGTTTTTAAATATTTGTATGGCTAATAAATTCATAAAGATCATTAAAAAATAACCAAAATTAAGTGTTCCTTTACTGGGTGTACATTCACTGGTAAGAGCTGTTCCTTCACTTGGTCTTCTTACTACTTGTTATTTGAACCTCCAAAACTTTAAAACAATATTATGTAAGTTCTCTACATTTTTTTTTCATAATTTGCAATTAGTAACAAATATGTTGACACTGTCATTTAACTAAAATTACGAATTTTGAAATTTATATGATTTTTTTAAAAGGGTCGAAGCTGAAGTGTTCCTTCACTGGTTATTTACCCTACATTTACAATCTACACAAGGATATTTCAGGAATAGATAGATTGTTACAAAATATTTTTTACTTACATATTGATTAATTGTCTGCTTTCGTAACCCAATCCTTGCTTATTTGCACATTTGAAGTTTATCACTTTGAGTCACAAAGAGTGGGTTTCAGTTCGGAAAACATTGATCATTAGAAAAAGAATTATTAAGTTTGACATCTTTTTTTACTCAATTTACAGATTTGTGTTCAATAAGTGCAAATGGTTAGGCAGATTTTAATCAAATATCAATATTGAAAGGCAGTTTAATTAATTTTATAAACTTGAAATCATTTTAAATTATTTACAGTATTATAAAAGAAATTAAATTAAAACACTGAAAAAAAAACAATTAATATTTGGAAAATTAAGCATACAGGAAATTAAATAAAATCAAACATTCAGCGAAAAAAACATTAATAATTATTTTTAACATTTTTGAAAAAAAAATCTTCAGAGCTAAAATCCAATGCACATATTAGTGTCTCAAATAAGTATCTAAATTAAAAAATAACCTATTAGCAAATAGCTAATAAAAAGAGAGACACTATATTTCTCTTTGTCTAAATATTAAAATGCGAGTTCTAATGCGTGTAATGTTTGAATATTATTCATTTTATCGGATCTTTGCATTCACTGAAGTAAAGGAAGAATTAAGTATTAATTTTGCTTGAAATAAAAATTGAAGAAAATAAAAATAATGCAGACGCATTAAAATAACTCAATGTCTCCGTAAAATGAGTAAGAAAAAAGAAACAAAAATTTATTGTCTATAAGAAAACGCAACAATTGCCATTCAATTCAAAATTATGTAATTATTAATAATATATTTATAAAAGTATATATTTTTAGTGGAAAATAAATTTAGGTGATAGATCTTTGTTATAAGAAAAGTTTTATATTGAATGAATTTATTAATTTTATTAAAAAGTAGTTTTGCTGATAAAATTTTTATTTTCAGACTACCTCTCTTCATTTTAAGAACTGTAATTACCAAGAAGGCTATTACTGCGAAAAATATTTCTTTCCTGTCTGTCTAACTAAAAATGTTCTATAGTGAATATGATTACAACTAAAGTGGTAGTGTTATTAAAACCTAAGATATTGTTTATGTATAAATTTAAGATCATTCCGATTCTGGTGCGCAGTATCACTAATTAATATCTAACAATCAGATACTGTTTTTCCATACCTGTAAACAATAATTATAAATTCAAAATGGTAGTAAAAGTCGAATATTTCCTTATACACACTAACATATTTCGCTTAATTGAGATAAAGTCAACGCGCAAACAAAATTATGACTGCTTGCTATTATCTATTAGATAGTCTATCTAAATGTGTTTAATTCTATTTACTGCTTATAAATAACTGAACCATGATTCGATTGGTCATCTTTAAGCTATAAAATCTCTTATCTTGCACGCAATGAGAAAAAAAAGAGTGAAAGTAAATCACGGAGGAGAAATAATTTAATGATTGCCTGTGGTTGCTTGGCGGAACTGAATGGCAAAATGCATTCGGAAGTCGCCTAAATTATCAAAACAATTTTCTAACGTCTGAAGAAAAATATTTTGTTCTAGGTCCATTCTTTTTCCTGATAAGTCTATATCATTTTCGACCATTATACAAGGAAACCTAGTTTTTGGTGAAGTTAATTATTCATTTGCAGACAATTCTTGGTGGATCTTAGGAATCGACAACAACCACGGGTTCACAAAGAACAGAAAAACAAAAAAACGTTCGCCGGCTAATTCACTCTATTGTTCCCGCCAGATAGAAGATCTGGACCAATCAGAGAAAACGTATGCCCACGTGACAAACATTCATATATAATAAGTAAATAGAGCAAATACATTTCCTCATAGAACCTCATGTGGATCAGTAGTGTAGCATCACAAGATACGATGGATTTCAATTGGTTAAACATGAAGGCATTGTGTATTATGGTCTGTGGTAAGTTTTTCAGCTTTCGTTACGGTTGAAGTGAAAGTTATTGTTTTATATTGATTTATATGAGTGTCAGCTTATTAATCTGGTATATTTTTTATGAGATTAAGAGCTTTTTTAACATGAAATTTAATCTGATATTTAATTTTTTTTTACAATTTTTTTTAGATTAATGGAACATTAATTTATTGATGACTTTAGTTGTTCGTTGATTATTTGCTGATTCTTAAACATTTTATAACTTTTTTCAAGTTAATAAACGTCGTTATATTATAAATATAAGTGCAACTGAAACCCATAAAGCAAATGCTTAGCATAAGGAATATTATTAATTAAATAATGGCTTTTGTAAAATTGATAAATTTTTTTTATGGAAATACAGATATATTTAAAGTAAGTTGATCTTTTCTTTCCATTATACTCTATGAAAAACAATCGTGTGAAAACGTTCAAATAAATTATTTACTGGGTATTTTTATAAATATTTTAACTTAGTTTTAAAATAAAATTGTTTATTAACTTTATAAGATTTTTCCCGGCCTTTTCTTAGAACCTCTGATTAATTTAAAGGCAATTATTTTAATAAAATGACTGATTAATAGAAAAAAAATTTTGAATTATTACATTTGAAAGCACAAATTTTATAAAAAGTCGAGGCTTAAAAAAAATTGCATTTTCCATTAAATTACCAGTGCGCAAGTATAAGCTGATTATTGATCATCAATTTTAGTGATTTAAAAATAAATACCACGTTAACAAAAATTTGAATATACTTTTGTCATAAAATAGTCATGATTGAGGATCATACTAATATTATGAAGAAATTTTTAGGTTTTAAAATATTTTATTCTTTGGGAAATGAAATATGTAATCTTTATTGTTGGTAATCGAATTTGAAATGAACAATCAAAATTTAAATGCATTCAAAATACAAAACTTTAATAAAAACTAAGCAGACGATTGAGGCCACAATGTAGAGAATTCAATTAATAACACATTCATTACTATCAGTTAAAAATTCATAACATCAAGTATATCACTTAATACATGCACGCGATATAATTCTATGCATATTTGAGTAGAAAAAATAAACAATTTATTTTCCGCAACTACAAATTTATCTTGCAGTTCGCTCTGAACAAATTTATCTTGGTAAAGATTATGCGTTTAATTTATTGATTTTCGGACTATTTTTACTATACATAATAATACAAGTTTAATATTTTTAAATACTTTGTTTAGTTTTTGGAAACATGAAATCGAATTGGAAATAAATATAGATAATTTTAGTTCCTTAAAGCCATTTATTCTATTTTAACTTTTGTTGGTGAAAAAGTTTAGATAAGACCCTTATAGAAATTTCTTAAACTGTTTGTTACAAACATTATCGAAATTATAATAATCTAAGTTAGTTTAAAATTTTTAATTGAACTGAAGGAAAGGTCATCAAGATAAGAAGATCTGTTAAAAATATAAGGAATTTAAGTAAATATCTCAATATATTTGAAGTTTTATGGAAATTTATTATTTTAAATAATTTTATTAACAATTAAAAGACTTGGATTCATAAAAATAAGTCTATATACAAACAATAATATTTATATTTTTGTTTTAAATAATTTTATTAAAAATAAATACAATTTTAGAAGAAATAAGAAAAAATTATATTATTTCATTGAAAGAAATAATTATCTTCAATATAAATATCACCGAGACTAACGTTTTGATTGTAATTGAGACTATATTTTTCTCTCCATTTTAAAAAAAAATGTAGATTGAAAAAAAAGTATGGTCAAAACTACAAGAATATGGTAAATATTTCCCTATTTTTGGCTCAATGAGAACAAAAAGCGCCGTAATTTTTATCGAAGCACTTTGGTAATGGTTTTCGTAAATAAACTATGATTTTATTAAACATGATTTTGGAATAAAATATGGTTTTATAATGTGTGATAAAACTTGTAGTAAAATTTTGCTAATTTTATAATGATACCTTAAAACCCAGCATAAGAACCGATTCTTCGATTAAATTTACTTTTCTGTTTTGTATTTCTTACTAAATGCGTGGTAATAGGTACTATAATTTTGAATACCAGAATTTCCGATAAACTTTTATGATATGAACAGAAAAATAAGTAAATGAATGGTTTAAATACTGTTTAGTTTGGTTTAATAAACAAAGTTATACTTTTTTTTTACAGAAATATCATTATCATTCAGTACAGTAATATTACCAGATTTTTTTCCTCAGTGTAACCGTTAACATTACTGCTTAAAGTGATCTACATTTGCTTTATTACGTTATATATTTGTTACGCTACATTTTGTTTTACTGCGTAATAACTAGAAGACTTGTAAATACGGCAGTGTGTAGGAAAATGTACTGAAAAAATGAAAACTTAGTATTTAGTTAGAGAAGGTAATTGGGAAGTTTGTAAAAAATACCATGCGGGCCACTACATAAATTAGAGAGTTAAAATTCAACTGGGTTAGAAAGTCATTTTTATTCATGAATTTAGCTCGATTTCTATTTATAAATTCTAGTTGTTAATGCTTTTTCGCGAATAGTTTCTCATTTCTTTTACTTTGACCAATAATTTTTTTTATGTATTATTAAAGGAAATTTTTTTTATCTCCAGAAATCTAGAACTGATTTTCGAGTTTCCAGAATTAAAAGTATCGAACAGTACATTTATGTCTTCATTCATTTTTTTAATGAATTTTCTAAAACTGTCATAAGAATATAAACTGTTCAGCCAGGATTCGAATCTGTTACAATGGAAATTCTAGCATAAGATTAAAAGTCTGAAAGAAACAGCGAGAAAAAAAACTTTTATTTGACTACATACATTTATATTTAAATTTATTTAGTAACAGTAAATTAGCTGAAAAATTAAAACGTATTTCAGAAGGCGATAACCAAAAATACGTAAAATTAATAGCAGAGATTATAACAAAGTTTATACCAAAATCTTAAAGTACAATACAATGGCAATCTGTGTTGATCGGCTAATTAAGCAGTTTTGTACGCATAAAACTTAAAGTATTTCAAAGTTTGATTTTATTTTTACAAACTTCAATGAAAATTAAAAACATCATATTTCGAGTTGGCTTGTGGTTTTCACTATCTCTATCATGATAACATTTCAAAGTAAATTTTGCTTTGCGCCATAGCTGGCAAGCAAATAAATTTGACATAAATGGTAAATGTAGCAAATAAAAATACAATGTTGTTCATTAAGTCATTAAGTATGTCATCATCCAAATTAAGCTTTCAAACATTTCGAAATAAGAAGTAAAAGATTTTGAGACATTTGCTCGAGTCCGCTTCAGACCTGAAATTCTCCCCTAAACCTTAATTAAACATTAAACGTAGTTTAAATATAGTTTTTGTTGAAAAAATGGAGAAACTGTAAATTTAGTTACTTTTGTATCTTGATAATAAATTATTTAATGAACGCTTTAAAATATTTTTTAACTACGCTTTAACTTTATTTTCTTCTTAATCATAATTATTCGATCAAATTATTCAAATTAGACTGCTGTTTCAAACTGCTTCCAAAAGGTTTAAGCTTATGGCAAAGGCTAAGCTAACTAAATTGCTTTAATTAAACTGAAAATATCTACTAGTTGGCAATTAGGCGAATTTTCATAATTTTTCATTGATTTTACCCATTTTTAATATGACTGTTGCATAAAACAATAATGTATTCAAGTATTCATATTTAATTTTGCTTCAACATTCATATATGTTATTTAAAAATAAATATCAGAAATTTATTAACTGTGCCATATTTTGTATAAAAATAAATAAGATTTATTGTTTTTCAGTTGGTTTCCTCTTATTAGATGCTACAAGCGCACAATCCTCAATTAGTAAAACGAAAGTAAGTATTCTTCGGACATCTAATTCAATTATGTCGTCACAATTTATGTCAAGGTTATGTTTTTTATCCATTGTCAAATCTAAATCTCCCACCTGTAATCCATTCTCAAATCTAAGTCTCACACCTGTAATCCATTCTCAAATCTAAACCTAACACCTGTAATCCACTCTCAAATCTAAATCTAACACCTGTAATCCATTCTCAAATTGCAAGTAATTAAGCTTGCCCTATGTATAAAATTATATGAAGAACACTAATAAAAATGAGCTTATACGATTCAATATCAGTTTTTATCTGATTTTAGCATTCATCTCATTGGACCAATATAAATATCATTATTTTGTTGCATTATTTAGCAATTATAGGATTTGTTTATAATTATACTATGTAGCTTATATTTTTTAACCACAAATCTGCAAAAATAGAACCTGTATATGAATATTTGATTCATTCGATAAATTATAGCCATTAGCCAGTCAATGAGGACCCTATAAAAAGCTATGCTCTATCTCCCGTATATTTCCAGCTACTATTAATGAAAATATATTTTGGTGAATAATACATAGAATTTTCAGTTTCATCCGATATTTTATAGGCATTATTCAGACCATATTGAACTTCAATAAATTTGTCATATTCAACCTCCATACTTTCGGAAAAGATAAAATTAAATATTGAGGAGTCCCCTGAAAATAAATAGATAAAATTTAGGTTTTTAATTCAACATAATCTTTTTATGTTTTCTGTATATCATTTAGCACGGTTAAAATTCTGAAGGGACTGTTTTACTGTTCTCATAATTAAATTTTTATTTCCTTTTGCGTATAATGTTTTGAAAAAATTTATTTTAAAACACTAACTTAAAAATTTTTACTGTAGCAATTTAATTTGAAAATTTATCAATTTTTCAGACAAATAAATTATTTTCATCTTAATACACTTTCTAACAAAAAAATTTTAAGAACGACAATTTTCCGCTTAATTTGGCAACTTATCAGAGAAAAATGAATTAGCAGACATAAAACTGATAATCTCTCCAGTAATTTTTTGAGAGCAACACTACGTGTAAGTATTAAAATAGTTAACAAAATTTGAAACATAAGTTACTTGTTCGTTCAATAACCTGGTATCTTGTTATTCCTGATATCTCTGTTCTGTTTGCTCAAATTTACGAACATAATTTCACTCATTATGTTACTCAAGCTCCTCATTGACATTGAAAATAATAAACAAGATTGTTAAGAAAGGGAAGAAGGTATTTCTTTTTAGAGAAAAGAAAGTTATTTGAAGGTCTTTCATCCCCAATTTCTTGACAAAATTACTGTTGGGTGATTGATCCAAGAATGTGGAGCATGGAAAAATGTATGGAGTAGAGAGATAGCGATGGTAAAAATAACGCGAAAAAATAAATGGAAAGTTGAGAAGGAGAATATTATTGTTTTGGAATTTGAGATCAGATTTTAGTTACATAAAATCAAAATTTTGAAATATATTATAATATTAAGTAATACGTTTAAAAAAAATGAACTATATATGAAATGGTGTGCTGAAATAATAAAGTTGTGCGCTTGCTATTTTAAGTTCTGGTTTCTATTCTAACTTTCTCTGGTGTTCATTTATGGTTAATTTTAAATTTTTTTATTGTAATTCCAACTCAATATTCCATTTAACTATAAACTTTCAAAAGTCCCTTATGAAATTTTATTTATATTTTTTCTTTCGTCACTCATTTAATTACTTTTCTGCATGTTTCATTTGAATATTACAAATGTTATTTGTTAGGCACTACATCTCTGAAATATTTATAATTGAGATAAATTTTCTTTAGCTATAAAGTTTTTTACTTACTTAAATAAACTAGGGAATATGTAAAATATATAGCAATTATGCTTGTGTCTCATGCCACTTAGTCAATTATAAATATTTTAACTGCTAAGATGATTCTTAAAAGAAAATAAAAAACAAAATTGGATTTAATTTAAAAACCATAGACAATGGAAAACACAAATGTGCTTTATATGTTATGAGTTTATCTTAATGATATCAGTTATTAATTTAATATTTATTGCAATTATTATTTTTATATCCATTAAGAAGAAATAGAAAGTTCTAGTACTCAATATGAAATTAAATTACATAAATGGCATTAATGGAATAACATATGAATATGTATGGGATAACTAAGCCGACGTTACAGTTTAATACTTAATTCTTTTTTCCTAAATTCTTAATTTTCAATAAAAAAAGAATTGAAATGAAAATGAAATTTTACTGTAAAAAGTATCAGCCCCTATGCCGATATTTTTTCCGGAATTTGATTCGGAGTTTTTTACAGTGTCGAATAAAAAACTCTAATCTCCTTAACTGTTAGAAAAGTTACTATATCTTTGTTAAAATTCACTTATCATTCGGCTTATAATGAAGAAGTGTGACAGACAATAGAAATATCAGTTTATGCTTCATGCAGAAAAATAGCTCATCCCTAAGCAGCTCATTGCTACAGCTATTTAGCTCATCTCTAAACAGTTTATGCAGAAATGGTCAACTATTACTGAAAAGTGTTCCACAGAAAACCTTAAGCAGAAAAATAGTAAATAGGCTAAATTTCAAGCAAGATTTAAGCAGAGAAGCATTATCATGACTTAAAAAGAATACCGACCCGATAAGCAATTCTTTTATTTAGTAAGCCTAAATTCTTATTTAAATGAAGTTGTTTTAAAAATAAGTAGAAACGTAAGTTACAAAAGGCTATTTAAACTGTTTTTAAATTACGATAATAGTTCATGCAAATTTGATATAATGTTGACACTATGTTTCGTACTTAAAATACTGTAAATAAATACATTTTTAAATTCAAATAGTTCAACTCAAAGTTTAAAAATGAGTAATGCAAAGATTTAGAAAAGTAATATAAATTTCATTTTCTACACAATTATGTTGATTTTTATTGTTTTTTTTGTCTTCAACAGTCATTATAGATAATAAATAGGAACTATTAAATGTATAGAAATAACGTGTAGATTATCTACATACCTTAAAATTATTTGATTTACAAAAACACTCTGGTGATTTTAATTATGAATTCATCGCAAGCATGAACCTTTGTCAGTTTCAAACACAAAGATGATTTTTGTGTTCCGACACTGAAGAAGGTTCGTGTTCATAGAACCAAAATTATCCAATATGTTCATTTCTGTGCTTTATTCACGTTATTTTGCTTTATAAATCCATTTTAACATAAGACCTTAATATTAGGCAATTGTATATGCCAAGGTAAAAATGTAACAAGGTCGGCGACAAATCGTAAAAACTCCATTCAAATCTCGACGCCAAAGACATACACCAATGTAAGCATATAATCAAATTATTTAGGTCACAACCTAACATTTTATGAACGGTGCTAAATAATATTAAATATTTATAAATTATGAAATAAAATTACATACTTAAATATTGATACAAAATAAATATTATATTATTTAAATTTTTTTAAATATTATAAATAAATTATATCTATACCTTTCGTTTTTACTTAGGTAGGAGCAAAAAATGAAAATATTACAGATATTGACAACCTAAACTCAAACCAGACAATAAGTCGAAGGCAAGATGGTGGGTTTGATTTAGTGAGCTATTTCTTAAATGGAAACCCTGTTGCTCAGCAATCTCAACAACAGCAGTCTCAACAAACGCAGCAAGCTGCCCCATCACAGCAATATTTAACCATACAACAACAACATCAACTACAGCAGCATCTGCTCCAGCAGCAACAACAGCAGCAGCAAGATCAACTCAAGCAATTGCAAATACAGCAACTTCAACAGCTGCAGCAACCCAGATCTGTGGATCTCAATTACCAAAATAACTTAGTGCAGCAATACCAACCCCAACAAAATGTTCCATCAAGTCGAGAAGGTGGTATAGGTATTCAGTTGGGTTTAGGTAATGGTTATCAATCAGGGGGAGGAGGTATTGGTAATGGTTATCAATCAGGGGGAGGAGTAGGTATTGGTAATGGATATCAGGGAGGGAATAATTATGCAGGAGGACAGCAAGGGAAGGAAATAGCGATTCAAATCGGAGCTGGTAAACCAATTACTTCTGTTGGAGGACTCATTAGTTTGTTGCCCAGAATTTTCAAAGTTTTAACAGCTGGCGGTAAAGTTATGTTTGGTGTTGAGCTCGGAAATAATTTTTACTTCGGTCCTGTTGGGGCAAAACCCCTGGTAAAATTAGGTTGAAGCAAGTATGTAGAAAGAGTTGGTAAAAGTCTTTAAAGTTATTACCTGAAGTTGGTATCTTTACCACCAACCAGATAATTTACAACTTTTAGAAGTTTAATTACCGCATCAGTATTGTATTTATAGAAATGAAGATGAAATAAGAGTCCTGGGGAACGAAAAATTTTTTTTAAAGTAACGCCCCCATTTATTAATTTTAAGAAGTGTTTATCGATTGCGAATTTTAAAAAGATAGTAGAACTGGTTCAGTGAAGTATTTTCAGTGCTTCTAAATATGCAATTTTTTCAGAATTCATTTAAATATAAGTGTCTCTTTATTTAGAAACTAAATATGAAAAAATATTTGCAGCCTGGGAAATGTTAAAATTTATGAATTTTTCTGAAGCATTTAAAAAAATATTTTCGAAAATTTTTACTATTTTAAAATGTTAGGTATAACTGATTATTTACATGTAATTAATACTACACGCTTCACAAATATAGAAAAAAGTATTAGACTTTATGAGGAGATTTCATGATATTACTACAATGCTTGTAAATAGATGATTGTAATTATGTAAAATAATGTAATTAATAAAAAATATTTTATACAAAAATAGGAGAAACTTGTATTTTATATGTTTGATTTGACTTAAATGCCTGTGAATATTTACAGAATATTCACAGGCATTTCTCCAATTCTCAATACTTTTTCATATCAAAGTCTAGTTAATATCTTCAAGAGAGTTAACTTTTAAATAACGTATTTTGTAGAAAAATTAATATACATTAAATTTTCTATTTATTTATTTATTGTTTTGCATAATAGAGAATAAACTCTTTAAATATTTGATAAACTAGGTAAATCTTGGCACAATTTCGTGAAAAACATTTTTTTAGAATTGCCTTTAAATTGAAATATAACGGTTAAGGCAGGAGAAAAATGTATAAGTAATTTTAATATTTACGTATAACATGGAAAGATTGTTAATCATCGTCAAGAAATAACCAAAAATTGACTCGGAATTGAAATTCAAAAATTCATAAGTTGATAGTTCTAGGCTCAAAATCACAAAAAATTCTTGGTTGGTTATTCAATCTACTATCACATCATTAGAATCGAAGTTTGATCCAAACAGGCGGCAGAATTGAATAATCCGAATCGATATTATCTGCGGTTTCAGTGAATGATGCTGTTCAGACGTCTGCAAAAAGTAACTTATAACTTTAAACTTTCTTCTCATATTCGTATTAAAAAATCGTAACTTGTAAAGCACTACTATAAGGGGATCAATAAAATCTATGTCTTTTCTGCATATAATTTTTAAAACAAGTATTTTTAGTCAGATTGTCATAATTTATAGCCCATTAAGGTGGCAGAAGATATCAATTCAGATCTCTGAAATTTAGCATAAACATTCCATACTAAGAATTAAATTACTACAACTTTCATGGTCTACTCTAATAACGATAAAAAAAGAATAATGCAGAAGTTTTGGTGGATAACTATTTCTGTAAGCTTTGTTGAATATTTTAAATAGGGGGACACTTTTTTGTGGGATGAGAAAACCAATGCTTCAGTTTCTTTCTTTTGTGTGCTTAAAAGAAAAGCTAACCGGCGTATTTCACCAGCGTATAAAAAATTTATTTCGTAGAAAAAAAGCAAAAGTTTTATTTTCTAAATCTTGAACATCGTTGGAAATTAGGTAATGATTCCAAATCACCACCCTTAACATAAATCTTTAGGTCTTTTGTAAATATTGTAGTTAAATGTAAACACCAGGGATTAAAATAAATCCGTTATAAAATTCAGACGGATAATAACATTGGAAGACGTGGTTAAAAACTTTAAAATCAGTTTCATTGGAGGAGGAAACTAAAATGAGGGCAAGAGGGATTGTTATAAACTTTTTTCAGTTTCTCTAGACATTAAAACTAGCTTTGGTATACAATAATTTTGTAAATTGTTATAAAAGTTGTATTTTAAAAAAAAACACGTTAAAACGAGATTATTAATGTGTATATTTTTTACTTCATTTTAGACTAGGCTCCTAAAATTTTTATATTTCATATTGAAAGTAAGAAATTTTCAACGTATAGATAGTACAGCCACAATCACAAAGCACGTTTAAAACCTCAATAGTTGAAAAAAATTTACAATGTCAAATATAGCGGCTTTTAAAGAAGAAAAAAAAGACTTCTTTTAGCATAAACAAAGTCAGCATTGAAATGCAAAAGCAAGTAAAACTCTAAAAATTGAAACAAAAAGATACCCAAAATAGTGACATTCATAATACAAGTTGTTTGAAAAAACTAGCTGTCGTTAAACAACTTAGGTACGGAGATAAAAAAATATTGTTTCAATTTTTAAAAAAAATTAAAAATTTTGGAAACATGTTCGACAGTTTTATATGACTTATTTATTATATGTAAATATGGTATTTTAAAATGATTCCAAATCGCATGAATTGTTTTATGTAAAGCTTTAGGCATTTTTTAAATTTTTTTTTGGAATAAACTATTATTTATGTTAACTTATTCATAAATCTTATATTACTCTTTTAAATGTCTAATATAAATAAATACTAATACTCATAATACTCAATACTTTTTTATAACAGGATCATTTATATGTGGATCAGAAAAGCAATTTATTTTCTGATTTAAATTCAAAATACATAGGGTTTATAAAAATACGCATTTTAAAGAGAATTAGATAATAATTATCATTTGGTGTAGCTGAAAAGCATTGCTCATTTAGGGAGAATGTTATACAATATGACTATAACTTGCATTTAAAGCAAAAGAAAAGAAAAAGAAGAAAAAAACATAATTTTTCAAATATATTGTACTGAAACTAATATTAGGTGCAATAAAAATACGCTTTAGGGCGATTTACTGATTTTAATTTTAAATTAATAAGATTATGTAAAAAATTTTAATTGAAGACGGACACATTTCGGAAAGCTTTTTCACAGTTTTTTTAGAAATTATTTTTTAAATAAATGATTTTAATTTTTTTATTTTATTTCAAATGATTTTCTGAAGTCCAGTTCAATTTTTCACTCTAGATATTTCATTAAAAAAGATAGCAATTTCAAAAATATTTGCTACACATTAAAAAAAATAATTAATGTAAACTGATAGAAAATATTTAAATATTTACTGATAGAAAATATTAAGCTTAATAGAAAAAAAGTCAATATTTTTTTTCTTTTTTTACTAAGATTACATTTACTTATGATTACATTTACTTAAGTATAACAAAACTCTTAAGAGATTGTGAAATACTTTAAAAGTTACATAATAACAAAAATATTTCATAAAAGTTTGCAAATGTTCTTTAATATTAAAGTATATTATACAGCAATGAATAAATTAAGCTGCTTTGAATTTTAAAAGACGTTCTTTTAAACGACAAGGAATGATAAATTTACTACAATGCATGCTTTAGCATGACCAAAACTTTTCTTTGTAAATTTTAAGATAATTTGTTTTTCAAATTATTTTTAACTTTAAATTTATTTTCATTGCAAAATTTCTTAATTTTCTTTCTTTCTAGAATTTAATGCTTACAGTAGAATTTAAATATAGGTAAATAAAAATTTCTAATACAAAAAAGAAAAAAACCAGTCATGTATACCTAGTTAAATTTAACTCTTAAGATTCTTTGTCATTTTTAGTTCAAGATCAATGTTGCAAGAATTCAAATAAATTTGTAGAGAATATAATAAATTTGTTTGCTTCTCCATCTCTTAAATTAACTGCATAACTTCCTCACCTTTTATATTCTTAATTGTACAAAATTGAAAATTAAAAAAAGAAATCAAGCTTGCTATAAAATAGTTACACATTTGTGCAAAATTAAAAAAATATATATTGTTTAGATGATTGCACTACTTGATCTAAAGTTTGTTCGGGTTTTAAATTTTTTGTAAGCTCTCTAAATTTTTATTTTAAAATAACTTTTAATTAGTTCTTGATGTTAAATTTTAATAGGTAATACATTTCTTGGTAAAGGAGATACAAAAATTGAGTATTTTGAAGAAAAAAGTTTTAACATTTAAAAATTAAAATTTTAATTTTAAGGTAAAATGTAGAATTCTAACATAATTTTTGCGTGAACATTTTACCCTCATCTCGATGTAAATAACCTTTATATTTAATCCATAAGCAAATTGTTGAAAATGTATTAGGTAAAGATTTGGTTTCTTAGATTTTTAAATCGTTTCATTTGTAAATGATAGATGGCGTTGCTTTTAGACTGTACATTTCTACATTTTTCATGCCCTTTTTCAGTTTTCATTTTATTCATTGTAATTCACATAGAAACTCACATGAAATACACATTTAGAAATTGAGAATCTGATTGGAGCATTTTAAGCAGAATGACCAAACAAGACTTAGTAAGAATGCTTTCTAAGTTTCTAAAAATCTCAATAGCACTTTATTATTCTGTTCTTAGCTTTTTTTATTGTAATTTGTTTTTCTGATTTATAATACCGATAAAAGAATTATTAAATAATGAATAATGGCTTCACATGCAAACTATGAGCTGGATCGTTCAAAAAGTCGACCGCCAAACGATTGTTTACTTTTCGAAAGTTGAAAAAATTTGGAGCTGGCAGAGAAAGCTTTGTGCCGTGAAAATAGTCCAATGTTAATAAAAGAAAAAAAAGCTAATTTGAGAAATGCGTAAAGAAATCATCAGTCAAGCTTTTCACACTTTTAAATTTTAGATCAAAATGGGATAACATTTATTTAATTCATAATTTTCCCGGTATACTTATATTCAATTATACTTCAGCGAAATAAAAACTTATTTCTGTACCATCAGGTTAAAAACAAAATATCTCACTTACCTGTGATTGAATTGCTATTTAAATGTTTGTAAATAGTTTTTATAACAGTTAACTGATTTATCTTCGTAGCAATTTTAGGTTTATTGGATGATCAGTTTATTGGATGAACAATAGCACAATTTTAAAACTATATATTCTTGATTAACTTATTTGTTTAGTTAATGTTTTAAAACCGACAAAATGGTTATCTTTATAAATTCCACAGACTTGTTCCAAATCTAAAAAAGGAATGATATCCGTGTCTTAATCTGTTGCCACTTGTAGGTTTTTAGTGATTGATAGAAAACTAGATTTGTTACTTTACAGCTCTATAATTAAATAATAAAATTATGATTATTATATGTACCCAGTATTAAGTCGCACAGTTCAAATATTAAAAAAATTAAATTAAATTAATTTAAAATTGGTGAAAAAATCGTTTGCAAAATTTGTTTTAAACTGCGAAACAAAATCGTCTGCATTAATATAATACTTTAAGCCTAGTGAAATTTAAGTTTACTTACGTAATGGACTATTCATAAAGTCGATATTATATTTTGACTTCAAGAATATTATTTGAGTATGTTTTATACTTTCTGAATGGGGCATTTTACATTTTTAAATCAATAATATGAATCTTTTTACTACTAATAAAATATTATTCGTTCTTTTATAGCTGGACTAAAGAATATTAAAACATTTTCAAAAATATTACATTTAAACAGTTTTATGATCAAGTTTCGAGACTTTCATTAATATTCACCAATTAT